GTCATTCATTTTTTTTCTTTTACTGTGGCCTATTTACTACTTTTAATTTGCTAGAAGGAAAGGATGTTTGAAAATAAATGTGAATAAATCTTGTTCTCTAATAAAAAATATGTTATGCAGAAATACAGAGAGTCATAGATTGTTTGAGTTCTTCACTTCAACCAGATTCCAAAGTCCCAGTTGATATGGGAGCTACAGACTTAAATTCTGCACACTTGTAGCAAAGTATAAAGACATCAATGGAAAAGAAACCTCAAGCTGCTAGCACAGGCAAGAGCAGGTGGTTTGCTGTTGAAGGAATTACCAGGCGTTTCCTGAGAGGGCTGTGTAAGGCCAGAGTAACAGTTCAAAAGGGCACTGATGGTAGCTTTTCCAGTTGGAACTCAGTGGCATTGAGGGCCCCTGAACTTAGGCACCTGTCCTGCACCTGGAGTTTTGAAAGTATTTAAAATAACAAAAGTTTGAAACCCGAATTTGCATAAAAATCAGAAGTGCAATACAAAGATTTCTTTTCTGAACCATTTGAGAATTAAGGCCCTGAACTTATGTCCTATTATTAAGGATACTTAATGTGTATTTCCTATAAGCAGGCCCTTTTCATACCTAACTACAACTATCAAAATTAGATAATTAACATCAATATGTTAACCTCTGTCTAGTCCACGAATCCCATTCAAGTTTTGTTGGTTGTCCCAGGAATGTTCTTCATAAAGCAAAAGGGTGTGATTGATCACGGGTTTGTGTTGACTGGGGTTTTCTGTTCCTGCAGTCGTTTAGTCCCAAAAGAATCACACAGAGGTCTACATTAACTATAAACTGATTGACCCATTAGCTCAGGCTTCTTATTAACTCTTACAACTTATATTAGCCCATTATTTTTGTCTATGTTAGCCACATGACTCGGTACCTTATTTGGCAGGGCAGTCACATCTTGCTTCTTCTGTGGGACAGGACTGCAGACTAGGACCTCCTTCTTCCCAGAATTCTCCTGTTCTCATTGCCCTGCCTCTACTTTCTGTCTAGTTGTCCCGCTTATACTTTCTGTCTGGCTACTGGCCAATCAATGTTTATTTAAAATATAATTGACAGGATACAGATCATTGTCCCACAACAGGTTTGCATCAAGTTATCAAGTCTGTAGTCTCCTTTAGACTTTCCTTGGTATATTTTCCTTGATACGCATAACTTTGATACTTTTGAAGATTATGGACTGGTTATTGGGTGTATTGTTCCTCTGTTAGGGTTTGTCCGATACTTTCTTACAGTTGGGCTCATATTATGCTTCTTCAGCAGGATATCAGAAATGATCTTTGTTCTCATTCCATCTTGTCAAGTGACATGTGATTTTGATTTATCCCATCATTGATGCCTTTTGTTTGGGAGGGGCAGGGTTTTATGATGTAACCCTGACTGACCTGTATCTCACTGTGTACAAAGCTGGGCTTGTATTCCTGTCTCAGCCTCCCGAGTGCTGGGATTAAAGTTGTGTGCTGCCACAACTAGCAATGATGCTTATTTTGACCAGTTGTATAAGATGATGTCTGCTCATCTTTTCTATTATAAAATTCCTTCTTATTGTAATTAATAAGGGGTCTATGGATAAATACATTGAAATTGTGATTATATGCCTCCATAGACTTTAGTTGGATTTATTAAATATTTATGAACTCACGGTTTTCTTGCTTATTCATTACATTATAATCCATCTCCATCATTCTTTTTTGACCAACAGAGGAGTCCCCTCAAGGTGGCTTTTGAGTCCCTTTGATATGTTTCTGTTATTCTTTGAGCATTCGCTTCCTTTCTTATAGGATATCTTAGGCTCATCTTGTAAGTTTCTTGCCATTTCTCCAAGGAGCTCTGGTTCTTTTAGTGGACAGTTGTGTTTGGAAGGTGTTTGTGTGCTCAGTGTGCTCATTGTTGTTAACTCATCCTTAGTCAATACCTAGAGTGTGAATTTATATCTATTTGTGTGTGTATAATTGTACTTTTGTTTTGTTTTGAGACAGTTTTTCTCTGTAGTTCTAGCCGTCCTGGAACTCCCTCTCTACAGCAGTCTGGCCTCCAACTCACAGAGATCTGCCTGCCTCTGCTTCCCAAGTGATGGGATTAAAGGCGTGCACTGCCACCACCTGGCTGTTATCATACTTTTATTTATATCTACATTTATATATCCATATTTACCACATCTATACCAGAAATCATGAATTCAAATTCCAAACAACACTACAGGTTTTTTGGGTTTTTTGTTTGTTTTAGTAGTGAGAAACCTGATTTCCATTATCCTTAATAGATGCACTTTGCTTATCCTTTTTGTATGTAACTATTGTGTTATTACTGGCCCTTTACCCCTCCCTCAGGAATAACTTATTTTGTGTGTAAATCTCAGTAAATTCCTTTTGTCATGAGTGTCCTCTGTGCCTGCCCTTGGCTTTGACATGGTACAGTCAACCTTGCCACCTCTGCAAGAGGGCTGTGTAAGCCAGTTTCGACCCCTCTGTTCTCCCAACTCCAACTGATACAGGTATTTCTTTATTGCATTTAATGGTCTTAGAATTGAATTTTTTACAAAGGGAAGAGGAAACATTACCTTCTGTTCTTTGACTTGATCTGATTTTGGTTGTTAGGAAGGCAGTTTGGAATCCAGTTAGTGTTGACATGTGGAGGCCTGACCTCCTAATATCTACTTCATTATTTTTACATATATGGCTGTTTTGCTTGCCTGCATGTATGTCTGGGTACCGTGTGTATGTAGTGTCTGCAAAGGCCAGAAGAGGGTATCCAATACCCTGGGGCTGGAGCTACAGCTTGTGAGCCACCATGTGGATGCTGGGAATCAAACTCAGGTGCTCTGAAAGAGCAGCCATCTTTCCAGTCTATTCTTAAGACTTCATTCAAGTGGATGAAATCAAATGAGAAAACAAAGCTTGTAAGAAAGGAGGTCTCTAGCTATCAGTGTGTTATCCAAGGGAGGGGATAGGGTATGTATACTGTGCCCTTTAGGAGGTCTAGAGAATTATAGGGATGTTGGAGGTAACTTTGTAAGCATTATTAACCGAGGGAAGAACCACCTTCATAGTTGTAGTAATGATGGTAAGCTAATACTTTCTGATCCAGTATATGCTAGACACTGCTCTTGATGTTTTACTTCTGTTCTTATTCCATTCTCACTTTAGAAGTAGATACTATTATTATTGTTGTTACTGTCGTTTTACAGGCAGGGATTTGAAGAACAGAGTGTGCCCATGATGCCATGGCTAGTAAGTGCTGAACAGGAAAATCTTTGCTAGTCAAGACTATTGCCTGTGGTATTGGCAGGCAGAATCTAGTTGATTTATGTACTATGTATACTATAACACATGAAGAGTTTCAAAAGTCTTGCTACCTGACTCAGTTGGTTAGAAGAGATCTAAGTTCCAGAAGGACTTTGCATCTAAACTAGAATGGGGAATGGAACCATTATCATCCTGTCACTTGTTTCCCGATGCTATAGAGGAGTGAGTGCGTGAAGGTTTATTTTGGATCCTGACTCTCAAAGGGACTTTGGTCCTTTTGCCTTTAGAAGAAATTACATAGTGAAGCTCAAGCTTGCCTTTGTCTTCCCTGGACTAGGAGTTCTGGGGGAAGCTATAAAGCAATGATAAAAACAAGTACCGTGCTTGTGTTAGGATCCATGAAGAATCTTTTTTAGTCTTCATGCAATCCTCATGATATATCATGTTTAGATACAGAGACTGAGGGCCCACACTACTGTGTTTCCTAATAAAAACACAGGCAAGGAGTTGTAGCTTTCAGGGAGTCAGGAGAGAGCTGGGAAGAGAAGACATATTTGCATTGTACTTTTTTGTTCAGGTGGCAGTGACCTCATTGGGTCCAAGTGTGTACCACCCTTCACAGGGTGCTGTCCTACCCTGCATGGGGAGACAGTGTTAGAGGCAAGCCTTTGGTTCTGTTGGAATTTGACATCAGGGAGCATAAACTTATGTTACTTTGTGTATTAAATGGTAAAATTTCTTGTTTGAGGAACATTTGTGTATTGGGTCTAATGTGGGGGAGGACACGTTCCTATATTTCTGCGTTGTTTCCTTCTCTTAGATCAGGTTATTTGTGAGTAAAACTTAGGCTTTGATTTTTATATTTAGCTAACCCTTAGAGGAGAGCAGATATTGCGTGAATTTAAAGGGAAAATGTAAAGAAAAAATGATTCTTTTTTTTTTTTGCACATGTTCCCTTAGAAAATTTTACTAGACTTTTAGAAATGCTCCCATTACTGCCACATCTGGGTTTTCTCTTCCCCTTTCCTATTTAAAAGGCCTCACAGTCATTCTGGGCCTCTAGGAGAGAGGGAGGCCCAAGGCAGCAAATGAGGAGGCCTGAGGCTGTTGCCAGCTGCTCCCCAGTTCCCCCAGGGTACTATTTAGCAGTGTGGAGATTGGGAATCATCAGAATGTGATGAGCAGAAGTCCCTGGATTGACTTTGTTGGCTCTTGTACTTCCTTGCTGATAGACGGCAGAGGTATGTGGAGATGCCAAGTCACAGGTGGGTGCTCCAGGGGCAAATGATGTGTAAAGAGCTGAAGAGAGCATACAGGAAGTGAGTCTGCTTCTAGGATTCATTGTGCTGTTGCTCACCTCACATTGCTCTGGAATCCTTTGCTTTAACGCTAACTATTGCCTCCTGAGAAGTGACTGCAGAAGTCCTGTCCCTGCTCTCTTTTGAACTAGTGCTCCATTTTACAAATGAAGCCAGTTTTGTATGTTGCTTTGAGAAAGATCTGGGAGACAGAATTGTACTAATAACATTGCAGATGCTGACTTTTAAACTTTAGTAACAAACCATGATTCAGAAAATGGGCCTGGAAACCATGGGGCGTGACTCAGGTTGCATGGATATTCCTGATGACTGGATGGAACCAGGCCACAGTGGGAGGGGAGTAACCCAGGCTCTCTGTTTTTGTTTTGTTTTTGTTTTCTTTTTCTTTTAACTTTCCTCCCCTAAGTTTTAGATGCCTCTGGATGCTCAATGCTAGCACCTTTACAGACTGGAGCAGCTCGATTTTCTTCATATTTACTTTCAAGAGCAAGAAAAGTGCTGGGCTCCCACTTATTTTCTCCCTGTGGCGTTCCGGAGTTCTGTTCCATATCTACCAGAAAGCTGGCGGCCCACGGCTTTGGCGCGTCAATGGCGGCAATGGTGCCCTTTCCTCCCCAGAGGTATCACTACTTTTTAGTGCTGGACTTTGAGGCCACCTGCGACAAGCCACAGATTCATCCTCAGGTAACTGCTGTATCATTGCTTCAGAAAAGGTTGGGTGGGTAAAAGGGAGGGAGGAGTGTCTTGCTTCCTGGGACCCAGAGTTTTCTTCTATCTTCTGACTTTTATTTACTCTTTTGAAGTATTTGCCTTCCAAGAAGATTGGTTAAAAGTGTGGTTGGGCAAGACAGAACTGCCAAGTCTCTGTAGAGAGGTGGATACATTGGTTTTTTTTTGTTTGTTTTTTTTTTTTGTTTTTTTTTTAAATATTCTTTTTATTTATTTATTATGTACACAATATTCTGTCTGTGTGTATGTCTGACAGACATCATTACAGATGGTTGTGAGCCACCATGTGGTTGCCGGAAATTGAACTCAGGACCTTTGGAAGAGCAGGCAATACTCTTAACCACTGAGCCATCTCTCCAGCCCCAATACGTTGTTTCTCCCCTCAGCTTTTGGGAATCAAAATACTTCTTTCCCAGCCTTTCTCCTCTCCTAGGATTCTGTGGTCCCGTCTCCGGCCAGTCTCCTGCCATTGCCGTGTGGTTTGTGAAGGAGTGTTGTGGTAGTCAGCTCCTCAGGTGACCTTCCCTCCTGGTGTTAACATGTCTGCACTGACTCCTAGGTAACCCTGTCTCCAGTGGAATGTAGTAGAAAAGACAGTGTGTGACTAAGGTCAGGTGTGGGTAGCTCTAGGATGGCAGCTCCTCCTGCAGTGCTTACATTGTTACAATGTCTAATTTTGAGATACACAGATCTGTTGATTTGGTGAGAGTAGCTTTCATTAGGAGACCATTGAGACTTGGGAGGCATGACCACTGGAAATCACAGAAAGATAAACTGGCTGCATTTCTGTGGTCAGCTTTTTCTAGAGGGGTATGTCTGTAGAATGTCAGATGGTTTTACCCGTCGAAGACACTACACCCCTTTCCTTTCCTCTTTTCCTCTTTCCTGTTCATGGCTTGCCTCTGGAGCATTGGAATCAGACCAGCCTAGACAAAGACCATGCCCTAAGGGAAGAAACTTGAGGTGAAAGGGAATGTTGCTTGGGAGCTGCCCAAACTACACTTCCATTCTACCTCCTGCTCCTGCCAGTGGGGCTGCGGGTGGGTGGTTGGCTTCTGAGTTGAGAATCCAGGATCCACATTTTAATGTTCCATATTCTCTTTTCTTACAAATTTTCAGCCCCTGGGTATGCCTTAGTGAGCATGACTCTAAATCCAGCACACCTCTGTTGCGTGAGATTCATCTTTATCTCTCCCGAATCTCCATCATCTCTGCATTTGCTGCTTCCTGGAACATGCTTATGTGTATGTGTTTCTTAGCTTTCCACTGGATTATGACCTAGATAGTTACATAGCTCTGTTCACTTATCCTACAGAAAGTCTTGCCAGTGTTTTTTGCAGGTAGAATCTAATCTATGTCTCAGTTTGCTTGGTTGGTGTCATCTTTTACCTCTCTGTCAAGGGCAAGTTCATCTGTCTGTCTATCATCATGTTGAAGATATTATAGTTGGGTTTTAAATCACCTATATTACCTACTTACTTCCCAGACTTAGACTCAAAGGTACCAACTCCCCATCCTCCTTCTTTTTCCCAAGACAGGGTTTCTCTGTGTAGCTCTGGCAGTTCTGGGACTCAGTTTATAGACCAGGCTGGCCTCAAACAGAGATTTGCTTGCCTCTGCCTCCTGAGTGCTGGGATTAAAGGTATGCACCACCACCACTGGTCTGGCATGAAGGTTTTCATGACCCACACTGATTTAGAGCTTGGTGCTGTTTTCCAGGATCTGCACCTGAGTAAAGACTATCTCCAGAATCAATGAACCCTAATGGTGTGATTCCAGGACATTTAAGATGCATTATTAGCTAAGCATTAGTTGTTGCTTTAGAAATCTTGGAGAGAGGCGGCATTGTTGTCTTGCTTATCTTTAAGAGAGGATACGAATGATCTTGGAAATTATAGACCTGTTGGTTTACTGTGATTCCAGAGAAGATACTTGACCTGATCGCCAGATAATCAATCAGCAAACAGCTAGAAGAATGTGGAATTCTCAGTATTAACTTACATGGGTTGTGAAGAAGAGCAAATCCTGTCAGATCAATCTAACCCTTGCTGTGACAAGTGATAGATTTGAGTGGATCTAGAGGAGGTGACAAATGAGACCCAGCTCAATGTCATTAGGACTTTGCGAGTCTGTGGGCACAGGTGCGGGCGTAGGGGGAAGGCGTGTCAGGGTCACACATCTGTATCCTCCGGACACCCGCAAGAAAAAGAGGGAGAGCCCAAGACCTACTATTAATTGCAACTTAAAGCTCCACCTCTTGGGCAGAAGGAAGATCTAAAAGGTTTCTAGGTACCAAGATCCTGATAGAATTCAGAGGAAACTTGGAAGATGAATGAGAGAAAATTTCAATCCCAGATAGGATAGTACCTTCTAGTGAGATTGCTGTGGGTCAGAGCCCCTGCTTTCTAGGTATTCCAGTCAGCAAGGGATGTGAGGAGCTGGAAAAACTCATAGTGGAGGAACAAAAATGCCTACAGGCAAAAAGCAAGCCTAATAAGAAAGAGGATGAATGGAAGATAGTTTTGACCACCGATTTCTTGTTCTTACTAAGTTCAATAATATTTTGTTCTGTATTTTAATAAAAGCTAAAATGCACAGATTTAAATGGAAGGAAGAAAGCTTGAGATTGTGGTAGGAAGGACCTTCCAGAAGAAGCAGGGAAAGCATTAGAATATAATGTGCCGTCTTTCAGAGTGACAGATAGTTGCTCTATGACAAGCTTTTATGGAGAAACCCTGTGTGTTGCTGGGCCTGGGCTAGAACCGCCCTAGCTCCTCTCCAGTCTACTGATTGTCTCTTGTGCTTTCGGTACCTGCCCAGCTGACATCTAGATCTTTTAGACTTTAAAATTTAGAGCATGCCATACCTTTCAGGTATCTGATACAGGCTTTGGCCCAGGAGAGCCCTGTTGTTGTAGGCTTGCTGTGGAGCTCATCTGTCTCTTATGTTCTCTCATCTGTCTCTTATTTTCAAAAGTCTTTGAGTCAGCTTACTGAGAGTATCTTAAAGGAATGTCTCCTTGAAAAACTAACAGGTGTGTGTTCTGTTGGACCTGGGTGCATAACAGTATTGGTTATAAATACAGTAAAACATCTGGTCTGTTCCATTTGTCATCATTTTTGCTGTTTACTTTGTACTTTGTTCAGCTAAGTGAACCTGGAGTGGTTGGTTTGCTAGTAATAGCCTTGGTGTTCTGACTCTGTGCTCATTGTATTTGTTTTACATATTTCCATTCAGATTCAAGTGATAAGTGTTTGTTCAGTTTGAAACTTTTCACTGAGAAACACCTTTTTTCTTAAATGTTCATTTAGATGATTTCAAGTATTTTAGAGACTCTGAATTTCAGCAGTGTGGTTCCTTTCTGTCTTAGGGATTGTCTTCTGATACAGAAGTAGATTTTTATCTGTTTGCAGGAACAGTGGCTCCTTTGTCCTCACTGGCAGGAGCTTGCTTTGCTCATTTTGGTGTGGATGTGCATGATGTGATGGTTGTTGTGACCCGGGGGCCCAGAGAGCAGCCTGAAAGCTTTGGTGGCTCTTTAATTGTACATCTTTAACCTCAGGGCACGTTCTCTCACCACCTCAGTGTTCAGAGGAGACCAAAGCAAATGTAAGTGAGGAAAATGAGGTGTAGGCCACAGCTTGTGGGGAGGATGAAGTAACCTCAGCTGTCTGTGTGGCTTGGGAGGGAAGGCTGCTTCAGCTCTCAGTAAGTCCTGGCTGCTGCCTCCATCCTTCCCTTGGCCTTCTGGGTAGTCTTTCTCACTACTCTAAGTAGTCCTGCCTACTGTTTTCCTTCCATCTGTTTTAAGTGCCCACAGTGTTAGGGGGTAAGGTTTTCTACTGTTTGGTCCTTTGCTGCCCACCTTCAGAAACCTTGGAGAGAGTCCATCTGCATTTTCAGTTAGAATTATGATTAAAGGAGTTCTCTTTTATAGAAAATTGTGCAGGTGCTGGGTTAATTTTGAAGAGCAGGGTGGGGGACAGGGTTGATAGTTGTAGAGGACTAAGACTAATACGGGAGCATCATTTGGAGGATTTCAGCGTGACCTAGAACTGGCACCCCCTTTTTTTTGTGAAAGATGTTTTGGAGAAGGAATTTAGTTAAGGAATTATAAATTAAACTGTATTGATTCCCTCTCTCCTCCCTTCAGGGCTAAAAGATCCCCTGCTCCCTGCACCCTAAGTATTGCTCTTTGCTACGTAACTGCCTTCTTGTTTTCTGTTTTTGATTCCTACAGTCTCTAAGTGATCAAAGGAAAGTACCCTATAGAAAAAGATCCCCTCTCTTCCCCACTTCCCATTAGTTTGCCCTGTTTACAGCTTCTCCAAGTGGGAGGGACTAGGCCCCACTTTTTAGCGAGCTCACTTGTTAGGTTTTGTTCCCTCTGTCTTCACTTTAGTCAGCCTGCCCCCCCCCCTTTTTTTCCTGTACAAACAGACGAAGATGCTGATGCTATTCTAAACTGGGAAATGAAATGCAAAACCGACGTTAATGTAACATTATGGTTGAGATTAAATGCACCAAAATCAGGAAATTCAAAGTTATGCTTCCCCCAGCAACTGTAACTCAGCCTCCTCTGGCGTGTGTCGTATTTTGTGAGTGTGGATGGTGTTATATGTTAAGACATTAAAGTTAACACCATAAGCAGAGCACAAAATGCTTGAGGGGGCTGAGTTATGATGACCATGTGAGCTGTAAGTGTTCTTGCGCAGGCTTCTGACTCCTAGAATAATTTTTTTTCTTGCCCATCAGACCAATTATTGCATTTCTTTTCAGTTATATCTGCTTTAACACATCTCCTCTTCCAGGGTCACTATGAGTGAATTCCACTATTGGTGGCCAGTAATTGTAGGAAGAATGGGTGGTCCACTAGACCCTTTTGTCCTTTTGTCGCTGCTTCCATAAAAGTGACACACACACACCCCACCCTGGTTAGGCTGTTGTTTCCTTGT